CATCGAACCACATGCTATTGACGTGAGCACCTCGCTGCGATGCCCAAGCAAAGTATTACAAATTATTAGGTTTTGGAATTCAATTTTCTTTGAACCGTGAGATTGCGTTTTTGTTCAAGGAGAATTGCTTGGACTTCCGGCGCCATGATGAGTCTTTTTGGAGATATTGTTACGTTCTATAGCAGGCGCGCGCAGCCTACTTTACGCATAGTACGCACGTGTGTACTAGTGACAACAAAATATCAAAATTTTCCGGATTTTTTATATCATTATCTTGGGTTGCTCCGTCGCACCAAGGCTTCGTTATCAAAAAGAACCTCAAAACGCTGGAAATCGCATTTCCAAGAGTTATTATTCACAAAATTTCCTGGAGGAGGACCCCCGGTTGTCCCCCAATCCATAATATTTGTCGCGGTCCCTGATATGTGCGTACTAGCCAAAAAGTCCACGCTACGCACCTGTATAGACACGGTAAACTCTGTTCTAATGCGGTTAAACACAAATAGAAAGATCGAATGAATACGTTTTCCCTTCGTCCAAAGACATCTTTTTTATTATGAGTGTTGTCAAGCACTTTCTCCGATCGGTTTGTTAATCTATTTAGGGTTGAAAAACCGGCCCCGATAAAGATTTCTTGTCAAAACAAGACAATTTGCAATTGAATTGCATTGAATTTTGGTTGTAAGATGTCATTGGGAATCACTTCAAGCCTGTGACGACAATAAGGAATCTTTGAGTTGGAGCAACTTTCGACAAAATATTTTAATGTGTGTTGAATTTTGAGCGTCTCCTAGCAACTCCTTTAACATTACAGCGCGGGGAGAGAGGTCAAATATTAACTATGGTAGCTCCCCTAATTCACATGGAAGTCGTTCAGTGGTATATATGAAACATTTATGAACACACGTTAGAACTTTTAGTACGTTTTATTTAGTTTTAGCTTAATACGTTTCGAGTGATGTTTATTCCCATGCATTCTCTATAATATACCAAGTAATAGCCAGCTTGGGCTACCTGTGGTCAGGCAGCCTGCAGACATCATTGCATCGTACGTCAGAAGACTCACAATCTTCGTTACCTAGAAACGATAAATAAGACATCTGCATGCTGATTTGACTAATACTTATAATACACATTTTGCAAGAAATATTCATATCAGCGAAGACGTAGCCTGCTAACAGGCGTTCCTGCTGGGGGGCCGAGTAGAAATGGGGGGAGGAGCGGGTCCTCAGCAGAAACGCCTGTTAGCAGGCGAGCGAAGACGCATTGTTGTTGATGCAAATAAGCATACAATAACGCCAACTTAGTATCGAGAGATGGAAGGATCATATTCTGGTATTAATCTGAATTGCAATAAAATTTATACGTGACGCTGGTCAGGCATAATTTAGGTGCAATATATTCTACATTTTTTCTGATGAAGAAAAATAGAGTTCGTTGTCTTGATTCATTTTTCGATAAAAGAATGGCTACCGATGGCCTGGGGGTTAGAAGAATACTACAAGATTGAGGGATTTTTTTTCTTAGTTTGATTACGTACCTAACCCACAGCTTCTACAGTTTTCAGTGCTTTGGCTGTTTCCTGCACATGGTTTACCTCCATATTGGGGTGCAGGATTATCACAATGCCGTGTTCTTGTACGAGTTCCTGTACCACATATCACACTGCATCGACTCCATGAAGACCAATGTCCCCAATTGCCATCGATGTCCCAACCGCCACCGCCACCGCCACCGCCAGGACAATTATAAAAGGGACACTTACCACGACGATTCGTATCCCATTCGCCTGGAAAAAATGGTGTAGCTTCACTTGCTAGTAAAAAGAACATGATCGCCCTCGCCATGTCTTTCATCTTCATATCTGTATTGAAGATTGAGCTCGCTCGTAAAGACTCTTGCTGATGTACTAGTGTTTTTGTCTGTAAGTGAAAACCAGCGATTACTAATCATATAAAAAAATACAAATCAAATGACCTGATGTGAAGTCAACAAAATGGGAGTCTTCAAGCTATTATGTTTTCTTCAAATTCGACGGTATACCACTGTAGCTATTATTCCACCTAATAATTGGTTATCGTAATTTCTGCATATCTGTGATTGGGTTCATATCTCATGAGTTAACACTGGGTGAGATAACAACAAATCAGTCATTCATAATGACAGGTTGTCTTATATTTGTTAATCACATCTTTAGAAAATTAAAAAAAAGCTGAAGAAAATTATTTCAGTTACACGCCTGACATCAACTTATTGGACTAATGAGTTTAGTGCACACAGAGTATTGAAGGCAGAATTGAAGTATTGAAGAGAGTATTGAAGTTTGCACCATAGCCTCTGTTATTGTTATGATTTACACCATAATAGAGATTTTTCGCTGACGTCACGTATCCCGTAGCAACAGCGATGGCCGCCATCTTGAAGATCACATTGTCAATATAAACACATGTAGTTTTAAAGATGTTCGCGAAAACTATCTTACTTCTCCTCACTTGATCCACCTTCAAAATAGAGATGTCTACAAAAAATAGCATCTATTAACAACATAGATACTTATGAAGTACAAAACAAGGACTGGAGCCCAAATATTAGCGATTTTCCGGCGAGTGCCGTTCTTGGATCTCGTGACCTCGTGATCTCGTTCTAAAGTCAAATGGTTATGATTCTTGACCAATTTCGCACATTGTAATTGTATGGCTAGCCCTATTGGAGAAACATGCACCCACGTAGGGGCTTTACTGTTTGCAATTGAATGTTRTATTCGACACCGGGAAACAAAAACAGTCCCACTTTTTCTAAAAGCCTACTGGATTGTGCCCCCAACCCGTGATTAAGTAAGCTATGAACCTGTTTAGAGATTGACTTTACATCTGCTGTTTCTCAAAGGAAAAACTTGTATATTCTAAGAAACACTGGGAATAACGAAAAATCATTTAGCTGCAATGTGTTTTTTCCTAAAATGACATTTGACTAGTTGATAAAGACATAACTTAATTTGAAATTCGATCGATCGATCTACGAAAAGATCACGGTCGTTCAGTGGTAAGATTTTGGCGTTTGGTATAGTAACAAATTTATCCATAAACTTTGCTTTGCATAAATTATCACATTAACAACATTTTAACTCAAAATAAATGACAGTAATCTGAATGGAATGGTCCGAACAGACTCGAATGTGCTTACTCCTTACTCGGCGTCCATTCTTTCCGACAGTAGGTTTGCTAACCATTCATGACCATTCATCGCGTCTCTTTGACGAAAGATCCATCGCTTTTTCACCTTGATAAGTAATTACACTCGGGAAACAATAATAAAACTTTTTATTGCGATTTGAGCGATTTGAACAACCAATAACGGAGCAAAAATCGACCATGTTTTCACTAACAACTGACTGTTACAGCTTGTTKGTTGACCTTCAARATGGYCGCCAAMGCGTTSTCAAGGAAACGTGACGTCACACGAAAAACCTCTATACTTCTAGTATCCAAATATCACCATAACATGACGAATGTCAGATGGATGAAAACTTTAATATTAGCGTTTAAAGTGCTTAGAAAAGTGAGATGGTCAAAGAAATAAAAAGATATCAGCGATGGTTTTATTGATATATTTTGTATATATTTGAAATGAGTCAAATAGATCAAAATTTCTGAATATTGCTGTATTTTGTATTCAAATAAGATATTCATATATATTTTATACAATCCCATAAAATTCTTCCTACCTGAATAAAGTGACTTCTCTTCCAGAGATTTTGAACTGTAATATCTGTTTTCGTCCTTCTTAATTAGCCTTTTGTATACGAAATAAAATAGATAATCAATGAAAGGCGAAAGGCTTAATTACTATGCTGATAGGTACAGTTAATTATCTAATTATAAAAGTAACGGGTGTTTTTATCAATGAATAACCTAGCCAACCAAAGAAAAACACAACTTACCAATTAAAAGACCATTTGCAATGCGCGTTTCTTGACAAGTCTGTTTTTCCTTCTTCTAGACTTTTCTTGGTATTCGTTTACATACAAAATGAGCACAAATCCTCCGCCCATCTCTGCCCATAAACAGTGAATGGTCCCTAATTAGACTTCATTTTCAAGACAGACCATTAGAAAAGTCGAATATGTTTTGCGCAGTAAGTTTTTTTATGTTTTATATCCTGCAGTGCAATTTCTAAAGTAAAGAAAATAGATCATTAATGATCATTGCATGTAGACCTCAAACTTTCGTAGTTTATATTTCATAAATAAGCCTTTCACGTTTGAACTTATCCGATTTTTTTTTGAAAGTTCAAAGGAAATGGATGGAATTTAGAAATAAATTACTGTGGCTGAACAGGAATAATGAATAATACTCGCATTGTCTTTACAGGGTCTGTCCAGCCGGTCCTAACAAAAATGAATAGCGCCCTATAATACACCTTGTGCGTTTTCCTAAAAACTGTATGAAAACTTTTAAATGACTCATTCTGTGCCAGGCTACAAGAAGAGCCATCACAGTCGTAGGTGTGCACATGTCTTTATACTCATGCGTGTATTGAACTGCTGTGTATTAAGGTGTTTCGATTGTAATAAATAGCGTTTCGCTATTAATTTTCGAGTTGTTCGAATGTACATCATTTTGCTCAAATAACTCGAAATTTTAGGTTAAGATTTTATTGAAACTTCGTCAGTATATCGATTATGTTATTAAGAAATATATGATTCTGAAAATTTTATTACAATCTCTGCGATGAGTTTCGAGACAATTAATTTTCAAGAAAAATCAAGGTGTTTTTATTTTGCATCGTTTATCCAAATGGCTTCATGTTTTGGCAAATTAATTTATCAACAAGAATTATCGATAATCACTGTTACTTCTGTGAAAATTTGAGTGCAATGGAATCGAAATTTGCGACGTAGTTGGAGTTTCAAAATACGCGCGAAACGCTATTTATTACGATCGAAACACCTTAAATCCAACCACTTTAACATCAAAATATTGCTACGCGTAGCATGTGACCATCAAGTGTAGTTTCTCAGAAACATGATATTTTCAGTCTAGAGGGTCTGGATTGATGGAGTGAAGGGTGGGCATACAGATAGAGACCAGTGGTTGAAGAGATGGTCGAATCAATAAAAAAAGAAAGAAATAGCCAATACGACGTATGAAATAATTGGATAAATGACTAAATGGATGAACGAATGGAATGCTCAATGAGAAAATGAAAAAAAGAATGGAAAAGGGTAAAAAAAGAAGAGACAAAAGAATCATTTTTAAGATATACTTTTTTCAATATTTTCATGAATTTTCTTTGAATTCAATAAGACATTCCTAATAAACATTAAAATGGAAACCATACTGATTATGATAGGAAGGGCGGTGGATTTCTTTGTATTTGTCTTTCTAATGTTTGAATACGTCAATTTAGTGTTGTTAGTACATGGATTCAATATTAGAAGATGAATTCTTGCTGCGCGTAAGTGATTTGCGTTGAGAATCTTGTGACATTAGAGGACAAAACAAGTTGGGTGGACGTTTCGCGTGCAGTCTCTCTCAGATTCTCTATAGGAGTTTTAACTTAAAAGTAAAAGCAGACGCCAAAGCTGCATCAAATGTTAGCACTCTGAAGGTGGGTTTAAATCGCTTTTCAGTGATTCTAAATATGTTCATACTGTTATGGTTTTACTTCCTCTTATTTCACTTCCGTTCTGTATCATTTACATACTTTATGCAAATTAGAATAACACATGGTTTTCTAAGATGGCTGCCATTATGTAAGTTTTGTACTGAAGTAAATCTACTTGAAACCAAGCTAATGTAATCCATCCCTATCCGAAAACACAACATGGTGTCAGAAGTGATGTCTATCTACCCTCTCGTGTAGTTATTCTTGGTCAGAATTCAACTCCATTAGAGATTCAGATGATAATCAAACTTGCAAACTAATCACTTGACTTCAC